AACAGAGGGAGTGAGGAGTGATGGTGGTGGCAGCAGGCAAGGATGCACTCTGTAGGAGTCTGAGCCCAGCCAACCCCCTCCGCCAGCCCTGCAGTTCCTTCCCTCTGAAAGCTCCCTCACTTGACAGGCTTCCTCTTCGGACCATGACTGGTCCTCACAATGGAGGCCGTAGGCCTGGGGCCGCTCTCCTCTAGTGAATCCACCTCTAGCTTGAGCCTCTCTTCCTCCAGCTTGAGTTGTTCCTCCTGGAGCCCTGGCTCTGAGACTGGTCCTGCTGGGTACGTGTCCTCACCCAGGCTCCGGCAGGCCTCATAGGCTGGTGCCAGGCACAGGTCTGCCATCACCGGACACTAGAGGTGACACATAGGTAACTGGTCACCAGGCAAAAGATACAGGGGATCAGTCATGAGACACCTGACAAACACCAAATGCAGATGAGGGGCACCAGTCCGTGCCCCTCCCTGCCGTGGAGCTTGTCCTGGCAGTTAGGGGGGCGTCGCACAGAGTCTGGCCTCCTAGAGTGCCCCGGACAAGTGTTTGAAGACTACACAGCCTGACGGTCACCTCAGAGCTCTGAGCGTGGCCACCGGACGACTCCGCGAGCTGTGCCGGCCCCGCGGCGGTCCTCTCCTGGGCCCCTGGCCGTCTCTCGGCCCTGGCTGAGGCCATGGCTGCGTGGGGCCAGCGCCTCCTCGGAGGTTGCTTGCGGGGAGGAGGGCGAGGGGCCGGACTTGCGGACCTGGCGCTGACACCAAAGACCCGCCGGCGAGGGCAGGCGGGTGGGAAGGGAACCTGACGGTGGCTCCGCTCCACCCTCAGCTGGAACTACAAGCCCCAGAAGGCTTTGCGCCAGGGGGCCTTGGCCCCTGACCTCGGGGACGGAAACTAGTGTTGCCTGGCAACAGCAAGTCCGTGGGGTTGCAGCAGCTGGCGGCAAAACTGCTCCGGTGAGCTCCTTGCCCGAGTGTTGCGAGGAAGGGGTCGCGAACTGGGCAGGAAAGTGGGTTAAGAGCGGAGGCGGCGAGCGCTGGCGGGGTCGGGCTGCGCGGCGGGGACCGGGAATGGAGGGCGCCGCTGGGGTCAGGGTCCGGGCCCAGGCCCGGGGAGGAGGCACTGGGCTGAGGAAGGGGCCTCGGTGCACCGTTGCAGGGCAGCGACGGCGGCATGTGCGAGGGCCCATCCCGCATCTCGGGGCCCATCCCTCCAGACCCTACGCTCTGCGCTGACTACTACAGGCGGCCGGCCTCGGGTGAGTTGGGGTGGTGCGGCGCTGCGGGGCGAGGCCCGAGCGAGGTTCTGGCTCCGCTCCACCACTGAGCTCCGCCCTGAGCTCCCCGTCTGGCTTGTCAGCCCAAGGACGCCTTGAGGGAAACGCGCTGAAGCTGGATCTGCTGACTTCGGACCTAGATTTGGACGCCACCCCTCCGCGCGGCCCCCGCGTAGGTCCCGGAGCCAGAGAGATCCTGGAGCGTGGCCGGCGTGGCGTCGGGGAAGTGCTGCTGCAACTCGGGGGCATCTCCCTAGTCCCTGGGGCCTCTCCCAAGAGTAAGTTCAGACAGAAGGGGCAATGAGGCCAGTAGAGGTCAAACGCTGAGATCAAAACCATTGCTTCTCCTTCCCAGATCTGGGTTCAGGCTTTGCCTCACTGAGTGTCATTTTCCCCAACTATAGAAGGAGGGGAAAATGCATTACTTCCTCATGGGAGAGGACTGAATGAAGTAGTTCCCAGGAACCCTAGTTCAGCTTAATGAATTCATGCATCAGCGAAACATTGTGTGATGAGTGCCTACGGCGTGCCCGCCTTGTAGGTGCTAGAAAAACGATAAACAAGTGAAGAGATGGATATAATATACAAGATGATTATTGGTGTACTTCACAGTAAAAATGTAGAAAATAACCAAGGACAGAAGAAGATAATTACTATGTCAGGAAGGGAATGTAGTGATGTGTATACTGTCTTAGATGGAGAGGTCAGGCAGATCTTTCCGCAGGAGGGAGGGTGTGGGCCCTGTGTGTGAACTCCAAGTGGGAGTTGGATCTCCTGGGCTATATGTAGGGTAGAGTCTGGCAACATCTTTTTCCAGGGAAGGACCCTAAAGACCATGAGAAGGAGAACCTGAAGCGGATCAGGGAGATCCAGAGGCGCTTCCGTGAGCAGGAGCGCAGCCGGGAGCAGAGCCAGCCCAGGCCCCTGAAGGCTCTGTGGCGATCGCCCAAATATGACAAAGTGGAGTCCCGGGTCAAGGCCCAGCTGCAGGTACCTACCTTGGAGAGCCAGAAGCATTGTTCATCTTGTTGACTGATAGGCAGTTATACTCAGATCTGAGTTATGGGGAAGGATGAAAATCACAGGGGACTAGGGTAACAGGGGCTAAGAAATAGCTGATTTGCTGCAGAGTCAGGCTGGGGGTTTCCTCAGAAGTGGTGATGGCTGGGTGATTCTGAGGGGCAAGTAGGAATTAGGCAACGGGAGAATGGAAGAGAATATTCTACTGCGGTGGAACCTCACAGAAGTCCTAAGACCAGAGGGAGTGTGTGCAGTGGGATGTTGTGTACAGCAGAGAAGAGCATGAGGCTAGGCTAAGAAGTTAGCTGGACCCACATCATAAAGGATCACATAATCCACTTTTCAATCTTCCTTCCTTCCTTCCTTTTTCTTTCTTTTTCTTTCTTTCTCTTTCTTTCTTTCTTTTCTTTCTTTTTAAAGATTTTACTTATTTGAGAGAGAGTACGAGAGAGAGAGCATGAGCAGGGTGGGTGGGGCCGGGGGCAAGAGGCAGAGGAGAAGCAGCCTTCCCGTGGAGCAGGGAGCCCGACACGGGGCTCCATCCCAGGACCCTGGGACCATGACCTGAGCCGAAGGCAGACGCTTAATGACTGAGCCACCCAGGCGCCTCTCAACCTTTATTTCTAAGGGCAGTGAGAAGGGCAGGGGTACTGTGGTGGGATTCTTCAGTAGATAGTAGTACCATATCACTATCCAGAGTCCTCAGAAGGAGGAGCAGGACTGAGAGAAAAGACAATAAGGTCATACGCAAATTTGTTGAAACTGAAGCATTTGTGGGACTCCCAGGGGGTTGGGAATGTGTCCAGGAAACAGATGGAGAGTCCGGCCTGGATCTGAAGAGTGAGACCCAGGAGTTATTGAGGATTAGGCTGATGACAGTGAGACCAGGGAAGTGACCCTGGATTTGAGGGCTTGGAGGCCAGCTGTGAGTGACCTTGGTGGGGACAGAGACAGGAAGCTTGGTCAGGAAGGAGAGAAAAAGGGAATGGTAGCCAGAGCTAGGACTGGTTTGTTGTTTTCCTAAAAATGTGAGAAGGAGGGGTGGTTTGTTGTTTTCCTAAAGATGTGAGACCCACATATTTTTTTTTAAAGATTTTATTTATTTATTTCACAGAGAGAGAGACAGCGAGAGAGGGAACACAAGCAGGGGGAGTGGGAGAGGGAGAAGCAGGCTTCCCGCCGAGCAGGGAGCCCAATGTGGGGCTCGGTCCCAGGACCCCAGATCATAACCTGAGCCGAAGGCAGACGCTTAACAACTGAGCCACCCAGGTGCCCCAAGACCCACATATTTAAATGCTCATGGATAGAAGTGTTCTTTCAAGAGAGAAGAGGCCCATAGGGCTGGAGATAGAGAAGTATCCTTACAGGCAGAAGGAACAGAAGCTCACTCTATGGCTGGCTTAAGACCCTGATTCCTCTGCTGTGCCCTACCCTCCAGGAGCCCAGCCCTGCCTCTAGAACAGAGCCTGCCCACTTCCTGCGGGCACACTCCCGCTGCGGCCCTGGGCTCCCGCCACCCCGTGTCCCCAGCCCTCAGCTAACCCCACCAGGCCCCAGTGCTAAGGTGAGAGGATGGGTGGGGGCTGGGGGGGGCAGAGATCTTGAGGGGCTCAGGAGCACATCACGGTGCTGTCTATCCCATCGTGCTTGCCGTGTCCTGCAGGGGCCAGGCCTGGGTGTGGACTTCATTAGCCACAATGCCCGCACTGCCAAGAGGGCCCCTCGGAGGCACTCCCGCTCACTGCAGGTCCTGGCTCAAGTACTGGAGCAGCAGCGGCAAGCCCAAGCGCACTACGATGCCACGCAGAAGGGCCACGTGCCTCATTAGTAGGTCCCACTGCCCAACACCTAGGGTGAAGGGTGCCTCTGGAGGGTGGGAGGCATCCTCTGCCCTAGGACCATCAACTCTGACCCTGTGCGTCTGCAGCTTATTGGAACGCAGGGATCTGTGGCGGCGGGAGGCTGAGGCCCGCCAGCAGAGCCAGCCGGACCCTGCCATGCCCCCTGGCCACACTCGCATGCCTGAGAACCAGAGGCTGGAGACACTGAGCAATCTGCTCCAGAGTGAGTTCGTGGGCAAGGGGTCGGAGGGGAGTGGATGGGGAACCCAGTGGGGACCATGCAAGCCCTGCCTGGCACTCACTGTTCCTGGGACCCTTGTAGGCCAGAGCCAGTTGCTACGTGAGCTGGTGCTGCTGCCTGCTGGGGCAGATTCACTCAAGGCGCAGGGCCACCGTGCTGAGCTGGACCGGAAGCTGGTGCAAGTAGAGGAAGCCATCAGGATCTTTTCCCGCCCCAAGGTCTTTGTGAAGATGGATGCCTGAGCGCTTTTATGGGGGTAGTTATGGGGGTTCTCACTGAGAATCGCCACACAGTTGCAAAGGGCAGGATGAGGCCCCATCCTAGAATGGAATCTGAAGACAGGAGTAGTGGGGTGGGCAGTTTCCCCAGAGCACTCTTCCCAGCCACTGGTGGCTGTAGAAGGGCAGCCCAGCCTCTTAACCCTTTGTCAAAATTAAACCTTTTGTACACAGTGAGGTTTGTTTCCATAAGAGCTTTTTCTTACCCTAGAAATGCCAAGTCTGGTGTCCTTCCTGCTGCTTGACTGCAGGAAGGTCTCTCTGTTGTCCTTACCACTCCTGCCTCGTGTCCAGGGCAGAAGGCAAAATTGTGCGACCAGGGAGGACGTTAATGCTGGGACACAGAAAGACCATGACTGCACTTGTAGAAAACCTTTAATGTTCCCCAGACTGAGAGGGCCCTGTGAGCAAGCTTAAAACCCCCACTGGGGAAGTCCCTGCCATGTCCCAGCAGCCTGGAGTGGCAAGGGGCTGCGTCCTTGCCTGTCAGAGGCTAAAGCCACTACCATCTCCTCGCATGCTACCCCCCCATCCGGAGCTGGCCCGCTCCTGATCATCCAGGGAGGGCAGAGAGCTTCGGGTACCAGGAAGTAGACGGCCCTGGCGCAGGTCCCAGCATGGAGGCCCCTTAGACAGCCCATTGGAACAGGGAGGCTGGCGGTTCTCAATGACCAGATCACTGCTGTCATCGTCGCTATCAGCCTCAGTGGGCCCAGACCCAGCAGAGGGAGGCCCTGACAGACGCCCAGATGCCCCACGCACCACATTATTGCGCTGATTGGCTGGCTTGACAGTGACGATGAGGTTGTGGCTGTTGGCGACCATCATGTCCGTCACTTGGTCCAAGGTCTTCCCAGCCACCTCAATACCATTGACCTCGAGGATCTCGTCACTGACTGCCAGCAGCCCTGTACTCTCAGCCAGGCCCCCTCGTACCAGGCGGGAGATGAAGATGCCTGGAACCCGCTCCAGGCCCTGGGGAGCTACACGTACACTCATGCCATCTCGGATGTAGAAGCCCAGCGGGCGGTCGGAGCCATGCTTGTGCAGGCGCACCCGTCGGTGGGTCTCAGGCAGTAGGTCCACATCTATGACTGAAGAAACCTGGCGGAAATCTTGGGGCAGGCTGATTAGCAGGGGTGGCCGGGTGTGCAGGGGTGCCACTGGCCGAAGTAGAAGCCCTTTCTTGCGCCGCTGCAGAGAGTTGGAGGCAAAGGCCAGGCCACTGGAGTCAGCTTCTGCTGCAGGAGAAGGGGGGTGCTGAGATCAGAGACCCTGCTCTCCCACGTCGGCCCTTTTCCCTCAGGCCCAGGCCTGGGGAAGGGGGCATTGTAGCTATTTCCTACCACTTGGAGGTCAGGCCAAGGGCAGGGACTGCAGAGGGTGAAGCCTGGATGCCCTGGGCATGGACTAACCCTTGTAGACCTGCCTTGCCGTCCTACCCCACAGAGGCTGCCCACTGTACCCCATCCTCCTCACCCCGCTTCTGTACTAGCAGGCGCAGCGGTGGGGGCCCGCTGGCCAGGGCCCGGTGCAGGCTGTCGTCGTTGGTGAGGGGCAGTAGGTCGCCGTGAGCATCTGTATAGCCAAGCAGCACGTCCAGGCCCGGGATCTGGTGCACTGCACGCAGCAACCGCGAAAACTCTTGGAAGCCACTCACCGAAGCGCGGGGCAGCGCGAAGCGTCGGAACTCAGCATCAAACTGGAGGCAGGGGGTGGGTGAGAGGAGGGGTCAGGACAGAGCCCGTGCCCTTTCCCACCACAGGTCCGAGGGTGTTAGAGGTCGGAAAAGGCTGTCGCTACGGCTGCAGCCTTGCGCCCAGGCCTCAGCTCCAGTACAAGGGACGCTGTCCAAGGTCTTCTCCCCTCCCTCCAGGTACCAAGGCCACAGAGGGACTCTAGAGGCCGGCCGTGGAAGGAGGATGGATGGAGGAAAGCGAGAGGAAAGGCCGGAGAATGGGACATGAATGATGGAGGCGAGAAAAAAGGTGGTGGGGACTAAGAAGGTAGGAGAGGAGAGAATAAGGGAATTGGAAGCGCCTAGGGCCGAGGCCGGAGCCGGGGCCAGAGGGGCCCTTACTTTGCTCTTCACCTCGACGATGTTGTCGGGACTGCGCGCCGGAGTCCTCTGCGGCCTGGCCATGGTGGGGCCGGGCGGGCCGGGGACGGTGCCCCAGGCAGCCCGCCGAGGCGCAGGTGCACAGCCCCGGCAGGCCGGCTCGTGCCGCCCCGCCCCTGGCGGTAGCACTCGCCCCGCCCTCCCATCCGGACCATGACGTCAAGGGGGCAGCGACAGAGAGTGGAACGCGGAGTCCACGTTTCCTAGGAAACGGAGATGGGGCGGAGGCGTCTTCGTGTGCTCTTACGTCATTACGCTACGGCGCGCAAGTCTCTGGAGTCTGGGGGAGGGGTATGGCTGATCCAAGGGGAGGTTGAGGGAAGTGACATTTATTGAGTGTTGTCTATGTACTATTATTTCCATTGACCTTACAACGTTACGTGTTTGCATGTTTTGGATTAGTTAACTGAGCCATACGTATTTGCTGAGCTCCGCGGGTTCACACGTTGTTGAACTGGCTTTGAGCCAACTCGCTCGACCACTCTTGGCCGCAGCCTCAAGCCCCGGATCCCTCCCTCTCCATCCAAGCCAGCCCTTGGCCCCATCCTTCCCGGTGTCACGGGAGTCTTAGCGAACGGCCCAAACGCCGGGCCGCTGCTCGGAGACACCGGGGTAAAACCGAGCAGGTTGGCAAGCCATTCTACCCCACAAGAGTCTGGCCGCAACTGCCCAAACAACACGGGCTCGTGCGCACGCGCGGGCACGCATGTGGGCGGGGCCTCGACCTTGGGTCCCGCCCAGCCACGGTGCGCTTCCTCTTCCGACGAGAGGCGGGGCCCCGGCGTCCGCGGGAAACCCAGGGTGGTGGTTCTCTGCTCCGGGTAGCTGCGGGAATGGCAGGCTTGGGGAGCTTGGTCCTGCGGCCTTGGATTCGAGAGCTGGTCCTGGGGTCAGATGCACTCTCAAGTCCGCAGGCGGGGCAGCTGCTCGAGGTGAGTCCCCCACAATTCTCAGGGCTCGGAACCAGGGCAGGGCCCGAGGGCGGTGGGACTGACGCCACTTGACGCCGTCAGGTGCTGCAGGAGGCCGAGGCCCCGGGCCCGTCCCGCGCCCCTGACCCGTCTGAAGTCGCGGCCGCGCTGCTTGTGTCTGACGGGACTCACAGTGTCCGGTGCCTAGTGACGCGGGAGGCCCTGAACGCCTCGGACTGGTGAGAGAGGCGGCGCGGGGCCTGGGGAAATCCGGGTCTAGCGGGAAGAACGCGAGGCTCGAGCCGGAGGTGCGCGGGCCGCAGGCGGGCGGGGCTGTGTTCGAGCGGGCTAAGGCCGTGACGGTCGCGCTTGCGGCAGGGAGGAGAAGGAGTTCGGCTTCCGAGGGGCAGAAGGCCGGCTGCTGCTGCTGCAGGATTGTGGAGTCCGCGTCCGAGTCGCCGAAGGCAGCGCGGTGAGTAGTGAGGCTGGCTTGGGTGGGTTAATGAGCCTGACTCCGTGACAACTCCTAAAACGTGCCCCTGAACTCAATCCTTCAGCCCGCTGAGTTCTACCTCCAGGTGGACCGCTTCAGCCTGCTGCCCACGGAGCAGCCCCGGGAACGGGTGATAGGTTGGTAAGTGATGCCTCCCCCCCCCAGCTGTTTCTCTCTACCCACGCCTGGCTGCCGTTGGTATAGGTCTTTTGGGTGGGAGGGCTCAGGCCCCTAGTAACAACATTGGCTACTACTCTCCTTTTTTTTTTTTTTCCTTAGCAACCAGGACCCGGATGTTCAGAAAAAGCTCTTTGACTGTCTGGAGTGAGTATGGAATTGGGCTCTTCAGTCAAGTGTGGCTGTGTCAGGGAATGGCAAATGTGTGTAGACAGGCCTCAGGATTGTTCCTCAGGCTTGTCCTCTCTGTTTCTATAGGGAGCACCTTTCAGAGTCCATCTCCCCCGGTGCAGGTACTTACAGGGGTTGGCCAATGACCCTAACTCCAGTAGAGTGACCTCCCAGTCATCACCTCTTGCTTCCTTAGTAAGCTCTTCTCCCTACCCACCCTTCCCTTCCTTCTCTTTAAGTTTTGGCCCATCCTCTGGTCCCCTGCCCTCAGGCCTTTCACTGTCCCAACTTCTGGATGAGGTGCAGGAGGACCAGGAGCATCGGGGGGCGCTAGTACACCTGGCTGAGAGCTGTTTGATGCTGGCAGGCCCTTGCACAGCACCCCCCCTCACCCGCTGGGCCGCCTCCCGCCTTAGGGCCACGGTCAGTCTGGGGCTTCCCTTGGGGAGTGTCAGGGTGAGAAGTTGGGCAAGGACTGTGCTGAGAGTTTATGCCCCACAGGGAGAAGCTGTGTACACTGTCCCCAGCTCATGGCTGCACATCTCTGAGAATGACCAGCGAGTTCTGAGTTCTCTGGGCCCAGGCCAGAGGACACAGGGTAAGGAGGACTGGAGAGGGGAAGAGGGAGTACCTGGGGACCCAGTGCTCACAGTGCTAATAAGCTCCCCCTGATCCTCAGGCCCTGAGCTGCCCCCACCAGACCCAGCTTTGCAGGACCTATCGCTGACCCTCCTCTCTCCTTCCTCACCTACTTCCTCAGGTAAGGTGGTGCTCAGGCCACAGGCATTCGCTGCTGTCAGCCAGGTTCCCAGGCTGCTGCAAAGGTTGCACACCCAGGTGGTGGATGAACACAGTCCCTGTAGGCTTGCCTAAACTCACGGGCCACTGAGCTGAGAGGGCTGTGCCCACAGTCAGTCCCCTCCTTCCCAGGAACCCCAGCTTTATCCAGCCACATGTCCTCAGAGGAGAGCGGTGCCAGCATCAGCCTTCTGCCTGCCCTGTCCTTGGCTGCTTCAGATCCAGTGCAGAAGGGCAGCTCCCAGGCTGTACCAGCCATCTGTTCAGCCCCTGGCCCCCGGCCCCTCAGCTCCCCACACCCTAGTCATGTACCCAGTTCCCCACTCCTGAGCTGCACCCCAAGTCTGTCACCCCTGGGCCATGTACCCAGTCCACATCAGGCCGTTGTGACTAGGGCCCAGAAACCTAGCCTGGAGTTCAAGGAGCTAGGGTTGCCCCCCAAGAAATGGCAGCACTCTGCAAGGACAAAAACCAGCACAGGAGCCCTGGAGTCCAGCCCTGTTTGGGTGAGCATACATGGATAGAATGGGGGAGGCCTTGGGTGGAGCTGGGAGTAAGTAGGGATGGGTAGGGGTAGCCTTGGATGGGGTTAGGGGTCCTTACTGGCCCCTCTCCGGATACCGCACCACCTTCAGGATCCTCCAAAGAGGCATCGTGATGGTTCTGCCTTCCAATATGAGTACGAACCACCCTGCACCTCCCTCTGTGCCCAGGTCCAAGCTGTCAGGTGAGTGCCTAGGGCTGCCCCTACACTTTCAGTCACCGGTCCCCATCCCCATTGACCTACAGCCATGGTTTTCTTCCCAGGCTCCCTCCCCAGCTCGTGGCCTGGGCCTTGCACTTTCTGATGGAACCACAGCCAGATTCTGAGCTGACCCAGGTGTGAGGGAGCATGGGGGAGGATGTATGCACACAGATCCATGCCGGGGATAGACAAACAGTGCTCCACACTCTGCTCCTTTGAGTTTTTTAATAAAATAATCTCATGCGGCAGGAAAAGGAGAGGGTCAGGGGGTGGGGCCGCCGCCTCTTTGGTCTGTGGCTGGGGAGGGTGGGTTTGGCTCAGGGCTGGAGGACTCTGTAGGCAGTGGGGGCAGAGGTTGGGCTCCAGGGCCAGATCCTGCAAGGGGAGGAGGAAGGGAGAGGAGGGGTCAAGACCGGACCAAGCAGTCCTGCCCCTCCCCCCCCCAGCTGGCCCCAGCCTCCTCTTACCAAGGCTTGGAGACGAAGGTGCCTCAAGCTTTGGTCTCCGCTTGAGGACAGGGGAGCGCTGCAGCCGCAGGGGCCGTTCTGAGAGACATAAAGACTTGGCAGAGGAGGGGGCAGTTTTGCTAGGGGCTTGCTGCCTGTTCCCAAGCCTTCCCGTGCATCCTCCCACCCCCGGGCAGAGGTCGCTCTTCCGGAGGTGGAGTAAGGGCTAGGAGGAAGGCAGACCCTTGCTCCAGCCCTTCGGGCTCCTTAATTTCTCAACCCCTTCCCTCACCGGTGGCCCCCTCCAAGGACCAGAGCCACCAAGGGAGCCCTGGAGTCTACCCTCCCCCCTCTCCTCCTGCACTCAAGCACACAGAGAGGTGTCCCCCCTCACCAACAGGGGCCTGGAGCTGGTCCTCATGCACAGACACTGCTCGTCGCCCTGCTGAGAGAGGCCTCGGCCTCAGCTGGCCATCTGGGGGAGGCCAGGATATCAGGGTATGGTCTGGACAGCTATCCCAACCCCAGCCCTTGCCTCCCCCGTCAGGGTCCGCAGCCCTGTATTGGAGTGGGGCCTAGGGTGCCCGCTTACCTTCATTCCTGGGGCCCAAGCAAGGGTCCTCAGGGAGGCCCAGGTTGTCTGGGGAGGGGCTGGCTCTTCGTGGGCTGGGGCTGGGACAAGGGGAGGGGGGGCCGGGACCGTCCTGTTGGCCCCAACCGCGGCCCCTAAGCTCTGCATTCAGCTGCTGCCCCAGTGTCTTCCAGCTGGTAGACTCAGGCCCTTGACCTTCTGGATCAGGTCTGCACGAGGGGTCTGCAGGAAGAATGGTATGAGCCTAACCAGTGGTCTGACAACCCCCCACCCCGCTGCCTACCGTTGCATATCCCCCAACACAGTCTGTGGCCCTTACTCACCAGCAGACACGGAGTGGGTGCGGGACTTGATTGAGATGGGAGGAGCCTCTGTGGAACTGTCCATAATGTCACCTGCAAGGCAGGGCTGGGGGTTCAGGCACCAGCCCTTGGGAGGAAGGGGAAGAAAAACCTGGCCTCTTTCCCTTGTCCCCCAGGAGAGCCAATGCCTTGGAGACTAGCTCCCTATAGACCAGTCCCTCACCAAAGCTGTACTGCCCTAGCACAGGGTCCCACTTACCATCCGAGCCAGCCTTCTTGATCTCTCCATCCTTGCTCTGTAGGAAACAGGGGAGTCAAGCTTAGTCGTGCCCTCACTCTAGCCTTGTTCTTTCTTCATTCTTGTAACTACCAGTAAGTGCCCACCAGGAGATGCTGGGATGGGTGAAGAGGAAGCTGATATAACCCAGGGGTGGTGATGAGAGGCTGGAAGCAGCTCCCGACACAGGAATGCGTGACAAGGCCCTGAGATGCACCGGGTGGAGCACAGCAAGATGAAAGCAGTGACCAGGGCTGAGGCCTTGGGGCGGGGTTAGGAGGCAGGGCAGTGTCTTGAGAGGAAGTCCCTGGAGCATTTGCTGTTTCAAATGCAGGTGACAAGGTCAGGGTTCTGTTTGATCTACAGCGGAAGGACCGTCCCAGCTCCAAGAAGGAGGTAGCAGGGGCCAGGACAGAAGCCAGGAAGGAAGGAAGGCTGAAGCTGAGGACTATTTTGAGGAGGAGGAGGTAGAACTGATAGAGCCGTCTGTGTGTCATGAGTCTCCTGGTCACATGTCACCCACAGACTGCCACATGTCACCTGCCCCCTCACTTTGTACTTGTGGCCCTCCCAACTTACTTGCTTCCTCTTGCCTTCGGTACTCCCGCTGCCTCTGCTCACACCGATCCTCTGCAGCATCACTTGTACCCGCTGTTCAAAGGATGGGGCCAGCTCTGTGTCTCCCCGCTCCAGGGGCCGGCGCTGCGGACCGAGAAGCCCAAATGGGGAGAGGGCCCACTGCCTCAGGCCTTGCAGAGCCCTCGCCCCTTGTCCCCAGGCCTACCTTGTCAGGTCTGGCACCCAGTGTTTCTTCCTCCTCCTCAGCAGGTAGTAATATCATTGAATAGGCTTTGCTTTCCCGAGTGTAACGAGGCCGGCTCCTGCGGGCAGGGTCAGGGCTGCTGGTGCCCCCCTCAGCCCCACCAGGCTCCTCACCACGGCCGGGACGGGCTGGTGGCCGCAACAGGTCTCCAAGTGTGGTCTTCCGAGTGCGGGGAGCTGCCCCAGGGCTGGTCTCTAGATCAGGCCGTGGCCCCCGTGTTGAACGAGGCTTCTTGAAGGCAAAGAGGGTACCCAGCTTCTTTCGCAGTGTACGAGGAACAGGGGTGGCACTCCCCTCGTTGGCCGGGTCCTCTTCGGGGACCCAGCTGTGGGAACAAGCCAGCAGTGAGTGGAAAGGCCCATGGAATAGCCCACCCTCTCCCACCCCCTACAACTGCCCCTCACTCACAGGCGATCCTGCTGGATCAGCCTTTTGGAGAAGAATTCCTCCACGCCCTCGTCCACGCGGGCACTGAGCCCATTCCCTTCCTGCGGCAGGGCTGGGGGCACCTGGGGGACACCATAGGGTCAGGGCTGAGCACAACCATGAATTGTTTCCACCCCTTGTCTAGCAGCCTGGCCTGGGCAACTCCAGGACGTGGGAGCTGGAGTGACCCTAAGGGGCTACTGCCAAACATTCTCGTCCAACTGGTGGGCAGAGGTGCTGGTTTCACGTATCCCCTCACCAGTAGTTGGCCCTGGACACATACACCCAGCCCACACCTGTTCTTGTCCCGTGGACTATCTGTGCACCCTGAACCAGCAGGCTAGAACCCACAGGCCCCCTGGGTCACACATTCCCATTTGCCACCCCCTCTGCTCCGAACAGTTACCCGCAGTACCCTCCACCCCCACCCCACCCGGCCTGCTGGCAGCTCAGCGGCGCCTGCTGCTGCGTCAGACCCTCTGGGGGGCCTCAGGCTGACTATGCCTTCTGCCCTGTATCCACTGCCCCCACCAGTACCCAATACACACAGACATCTCCCCACATAAACACCCCCTGGACCGGCGGTAGATGCAGGACTTGTCCCCACAGCCCAGCATCAGACTGAAAGTAACCCTGGGAGAGGGAGGATAAGATGGACACCCTCCCTCGCACATCCATCCATGCAGAGGGCCAACCCAAGATGCAGTCCTAAACTGAGATGTACCCCCAATGAAATCCACACACTCATGACCCTGTATGGGAATGGCCTGGGGAGAGGGTGGCCAGGGATAAAACAAGACACGGCAGTACGACCAGGTGGTCTCGGGCCCCTAAAATCCACTTCCCTAGCCGCCATCACTCCTGAGGAGCGGAAAAGCCACCCGTGACCCCCAATTCCACGAGCTCTAGAGTGGGGGAAGGGCGCTCACCTGGGGGCCCCCCGGCGGTGGCCGGTGGTGGTGCTGGCGCCGTGGCCGCGGCCGGGCCCGGGTCGGATGGCGCAGAGGCTGTCCAGCGGGTGGCAGGTCCATGCGAGGCAGTGGGCCGGCCTGGAGTCCAGGGGTGGCGGGGCTCGGAGAGCCACGCGCAGAAGGCCCCGCCTGCGGCTCTGCATCTTCCCCCGGAGCCGCCAGCTCGGGCTCCGGTTCCTCAGCAGCACCTAAGGGGAAAGCACCAGAGAAGCACCGAGCAGCGAACCCGGGGAGGTGGTGGTGGCAGCGGAGCTAGGGCGGCGGGGGACCCGCCCAGGGCGCGGGGAGGGGCCCGGCTACGCCGCCCGCCCCCCCGGCCCCTCCCCCGCCGCCGCTGTCCGTGGTGCTGAGCGCGGCCCCGAGCGGCGCGGCCCTGCGCTGCCGCCAAGCATGCGCATCCTGGGGTTAGAGAAAGGGGGAGGCGAATGGAGACAGTGTCCGGCTCCTAGTCTGCTCAGGTCCTGCTTCATGCTGACCATAGCAGACCGCAACCTGCGAACTGCACAGAGGGCCTGGGCTGGCTCAATCAACGGTCAGGGAGTTCCTAGGACAAGACTGAATGAATGTGTCCACGTGTCCAGGTCCCCAGATCTAATGGAGAACTTTCAGCCCAACCTGGTTAACTCCCTTTCCCCCCAGACCCTGACTTACTGTGAGTGGAGGGAACCAGGTGAAGACATTGGCTGGACTCAGGCCATTTCTGTGGAGGATTGTCATCCTAGTGGGGAGGGCAGAAACTCAGCCTGGGACACAGGCGAGCTGCCTCCCAGCCTGCCACACTTCCTAGTAAGATGGGAAGATCTAGAGCTCTAGGCCTGGCGTTTTGGGGCCACATACCTTCTGCTCCTCTTCATCCTCCTTTTCCTTCACCTCCTCAGGGAAGAAAAGACCTTCCAATTCCCCAGGCCCAAGGGGGCTGGGCTCACCCCCATCCAGTGCTGGTATGGCAAGAGGCAGTGCCACTGTTGCCTGCTGAGCCAGACTCTCCACCTACAATAATACAATAAAAGATGGGCAGTTGGGCCTCAGTCATAGTCCCATCAGTCCTAAAGGAACCCCGAAATACCCCTGGGCTATGTGACCCCAAAGACATTATAGAACCCCTGCAAGGCAGTGACCAGGTCAGTGTGTGTGCGCTCGCACACAATTCTCCCTCACCAGCCGATCCCGGGCTGCATTCAGCCCCTCCAGAGCCTGAGCCACAATGCTCTCTGCCAAAGTCCCTGTGACTGACAGCCGCATATCCCTGAGAGCAACAGAGAGCAAGGATTAATGGGCTATCTCTGCCCAGTCCCGTTCAGTTCAGTCCAGCTGAGGCCCATGCAGTCTACCTGAGCCTAGTGAAGGCATGTTGCAGCAGGTGCTCTGGAAGCAGCTCTGGGAGGCCCCTTGAGCCCACCAGGACTCCCT